CTGTCAACACTCTCTGGTTTCATTTAAAAGAGTCGATCATCAGATATTGTCCAAGATTAACCTTCAGGGTGGATATAGCTCGCTAGCAGCCTCGCACTGAGGACCTACCTACATCATCGTTTACCCAGAATGCTTTGCGTTTAAATAAAATGGCACCGTCCGTGTAATATATTTTTAAATATTTAGTTTAAACATAATAAAAACTAAACACCCTACAGTATTTTTACAGTCTTTATTTTTCGGTTAAAATATGTTTATCAAATAAAGTCTAATGTTACAACTAATCATGGATCCCTTTAAAAAACATACTTTACCCCTCTGTCACCCACCCCCCAGGATTAAAAATGTTACTGCCAGCCTTAGAAAGTTTTCAGGGGGAAACCCTGGGGCACGTGACAGCTTAAGGGAGTTACATTCACGCTACACCTATTTGTTGAATAAAAATTTAGTGTATGCTAAATCAACAAATACATAAAAAGGTAATGTTGTGACAAGTAATTTTTTACAGTCCCGTGACTCTGTGCGCTGCAGAAATGCAAGGCAGACAGRTCAAAGCTAGGCAAAGCTATAAATATCTGTCATCCTGTACAAAACCACAGGTAAGGTTTACCTGCTCCGATGACTTCCTCTATCTTCACACATGAGATGTCGATCTCTTTGGCGAACTCGTGAACGGCATCGTTGGGGTCCTCGTAGGTGAAGGGGTCGATGTAAACTTTGACTCCAGGGGAAACTGCCAGAGGAAAAAAAATGAAGGCAGAGATGTCTGGAATCAGTTTTCATTTTTTGTCTAGTCTTGCTAGCGATCATAGACAAAACCAAGACTGTCCAGTTCTGATCCTGTGGGTCACAATCCTGCARGTATTATGGTTTGCTCTGCTCCAGAACACCTGATTTGAATAAATGGGGGAATAATTGCTGCTGAAGGAAACATCTCGCTGGCAGAGGAGCTGAACATCTTCTTCTCTCGCTTTGAGACAAAGCCACCTGAGACAGAAACACTCCACCACACTGCACACAGCAGCTTCACCCTCACAGAGGAGGAGAGGGAGGTGAGGAGCACCCTGCGAGCTGTGAACCTGAGGAAGGCCGCTGGACCAGACGGTATCTCCGGTAGGGTGCTGAAGGTCTGTGCAGATCAGCTGGCAGGAGTCTTTACTAGGATCTGAACCAGTCTCTGTCACAGCCCATTGTACCGCCCTGCCTGAAATCCTCTATCATCGTTCTGCTGCCCAAGAAGTCATCAGTATCCAGCCTGGATGACTACAGACACGTTGTCCTCACCCTGGTGGTGATGAAGTGCTTCGAGAGGTTGGTCCAGAGCCACATCAACTCTCTCATCCCGTCCACTTTTGACCCACACCAGTTTGCCTACAGGGCCAACAGATCCACAGTGGACACCATAGCCACAGCTCTCAACACAACACTATCCCACCTGGAGCAGCAGGGGAGCTATGCAAGACTTATCTTTATAGTTTACTATATAGTATATATATATA